TTGTACCAAAAACCCGTTGTCATAATGTGACTCCCAGAAATCGAAATATCCCCTTTTCAAAAATATACTGTTTTGATAAATAAAAAATAGGCTTAAGAAATTGATTCCTACAAGACGATCTCCTACTGATATTTACCATTTGGTAATTATTATAGTTGCTATCCGAAAAGAAGCATAAAACTGCTACCCATATATTGGAAAACATATTTCATATAACTCAATAACAGTTACTTTAATTAATGAATCTGAAAAAATAATCTAAAAAACAATTACAAACTAATGTTTCACTTTTAATTACAGATAGCGGAAATCATTGCAATAATTAAATAATGCATATAGGTATAAATAATTATACGATTAATTCACTATGTATTTGATGTGATATTCATTCCTCTATAATTAAAAGTATAGAAGTGAAAAAATAGATATTAAAGAAACGTGACATTTATACACATTATTTGAGGGCATGTTTAATTATACATAATATTTATAAAACGGTAAAGATGCGGAACATTTTTTTAAGAATATATATACTCTAGCCACTCTATTCAAGAAAAACCAATCTATCTATTTCTATCTCTTAATTAGCTAGAAAGGCTAGAAAAATGAGAACTATCACATAATTCTGATAGAAATGGATCATTAATACTTGTCGCAATAAGGAAAATTACTTCCTGCCATATAATTGTTATATCACTGTTTATAAATGACATACTGAACAAGCGAAATCATACAATATATGATATTGCATATGATAACTTTACTCACACGGCCCAAATTAATGTTCTTTACCATAACTTAATGTTACTCTTGTCCATATGTTTGTTGTTCATCCGTCCAAGTAGAGGGCTGAAAGCAGATCTAAAATCAAAAGAGTTTGGCTTGAAATGCCAACATAAAAGAGATCCTCCTCGAAGTAATACGAAAACGGTTTCGGTGAGGAAGAAGTCTATCCGAAGAGGGGGTATTTTATTCCATATACTAGATAAGCATGTACACACACCATTCCGACTACAACTCTAAATATATACACATATTAAATTAGTTAAAAAAAGTTGTACAAATGTGTTTTATGTACCTTTGTACAAATAGTAATTAGGTTTTTATAGGCCGGAAGTTAATTAATTTTTTTTTGTTTTTATAAATCTATTGACATTCCTTAATTAATTAATGCATTATAGTAATTTCTTATTTTAATTAACTTTCTTACTTATAGTTTTATAATTAGAAAACGATAATGTTTTTCAAGTGTCATATTAATAATATTATTACTATTAGAAAATACTATCTAAAAAAGTTCAGCAAAAAAAATCTAAAAAAAAGTTTTGTTATTTCAAGAAATTTTTCAAGATCTATAATAACTGAACTTTTTACAGTTAATAATAATTACACAGTACACAGCGAGATGTGCACATGAAAATAATTAATGACGGTTGCTTAGCCAGATTAGCCATAGCTGCATAAGTATGTATTTATGTTGATCCTTTTTCGAGTCAGCGCAATTGGGCACTTTTACTCTTTGATAGCTGGGGGTACTACAGGGTCCCACCCATCTCATTGACTAATTTATGTATTGCCTATAAGCTTCATGATTACTTAGTGATTGATCTAAAATCTGCGTACCTCCCCGTGCGGAGATAGTGGTAAGAAGGAAAGCCTGTCAATTTTCGCATATAACTTCAGAGCTCTGTCCTTTATGTATTTTTTGATCGGGTCTATTCTAAGGTCTCTTAGCATGTCTTTTGTGCGGATGTACCAAGGCACTTTGAAGAGCCTACGGAGAGCCTGACTTTGAGTGACTTGTAGCTTTTGTATAGTAGAGTCGACAGCTTTACTATTCGCGACACACCCATAAAGTAATGCTGGTCTAATTATCTGGCTATAGATCAGTTTTCTGTTTTTCACGCTAAGGTTGTTGTGTTTGAAAAGAGGTTGTAAGTATACGTTTATGAATATATTCTATATAAGTCTAGACAAAAAGTCTATGATGAAATACGTTTGTAAAATCAACAATTATACGAATAGATTCAGATTTTTGGACCTTAAAATTAGAAACAATGAAACCTAATAGTAGATGTAGTTGATTCCATATAGAAAATAATTATTTTAAAATTTATAGGATGATAATTATTGAAAAAACAATAATATGAACTATATTCGTTTAAGTTTAAGACCGATTTAATAGCTATAAATCGGTACGCTACTGAAATATGTACATAAACATTGAGATATTGTAAATCGCTGGAAGATCCAGTATAGATCGAATGGTATATAATACTATCCATCCCTTAAGCGATATTAATTGTATAGCAAAAACAAAAAGTATTATCTGAAATTGATATATAGAATAATTAATAAATACTAACATATAATATATAAACATATATAACATATAAATAATAACAGAATAATTAGAAAAGAATGCATAGATTAATCGCCAATTAGATAGTTCAAAATCTTAGCGACAACAAAATAAATCAAATTAATTATATTTGGTCACTTATTTTTTATAATTTTTATAATTTCAAGACTGTATATATGTAAGAATATATACGTATACGTATATATAAATATATGTGTCATTTCCATTTCATTTTTTCAGTTAATATTTTATAGTAACATATAAAATTATTTTATTAATTTTTTCAATTGATTGCGATCAAATTAAATACTAAAATTTCTATATACTTTCTGTGGATTAACTGATATGTAATGCTAAAGTTCAGTTGTAGCCCTTGGCACCAAGAAGTAGCCTACTTGCGGTATCACAGAAAGGGGTTAATGCGCTTTAGCTGATTAGAAACAATTTATATGTAAAGATATACCTAATCTAAACCGGAATCTAAATCAATGTAATAGTTTAAAATCACTAATTTTGATTGTGGAGAATTTTTGTATAGAGATAACCCTACTCTAAACCTATACACTTCAGTATTAGTTTTACAGCAACAATTTTTTTTTAAGAGACTTTCTTGATAAAGAAAATACTGTGTCATTATAAAAAGATAGAATAATTCATGAATACTTGCAGTTGCGATCTCAGGTAGACATTCGACAAGTTCTGGTAAGTGCTTAGTAAGGATAAAGTTGATAAGCAAGATATTGCTCTTCCCTCTCTGACCTATATCTCCGACTATATTTATTAGTAGGCTAACTAATGTAGACGACAAAAATTTTAGCTGTATATATTAAACCATAACCGGGGGAAGAATTGATCATTATGAGGTAGTATCTTTTAATATACAGTGGTTTACACCATAACAAAATTTATGAAAAATAATATCTATAGATACATAATACCATCTTTTAAGTATTCAAACTATTAAAAAATTTGTTTGAGTAAAAAAAATTTTTCTATTAGAGACGTGTTAAAGCTTATTTTTCAACAATCATTGTTAATTGCATAACCATTTTGATTGTAGACTTAATTTTTGATGGCATGTAACTTGGCATCTAAACCAAACAATAATTGCATTACATATACTATATGTATATATATTATATATACTATATAATACAATATATACAATTACAATAAATGTACAAGTATAGAGAATGCGAAACATGAGCTTTTATTAGATGTCCACTTCACGAAATATCTTATTGAAAAATTATATACATACAGGAAAAAATTTATAGGTCTAGCTAAAGTTAAATTATATGGACAAGTAAAAAAAAATCGATGTAGAAGAGTTTATTTTCAATATTTAATGAAGAAATTTATAGGTCCAGACAAAGTTAAGTGAAACGAACATATAAATATTCACCAATTTTAGAAGATTTAGACTATGTACTACCTCTTTATGACAATAGGATTTAGTATAAGAAAAAAAATCGGTGTAGAAGTAGAGTGCATTTTCAATATTTATAAAAGAACAGATTTATGGGTCTAGCTTAAGTTAGGTAATATAGACATATAAATGTTAGTCCACTTTAACATACTTAGACCATGTACTGCCCCATTATGTCATCAGTTACATTATGAAACCTAGCTTTCTTTTAACTAAGAAAAAAGGGTTTCAAAAACATAACTGAAAAGAAACCTTTATTCAAACTCAATGTGCAAAATCGGAATCAACACTTTTTATGACGTGTGATTATGGTATATAACTAGTAAACTAGTAAATATTTTTTTTTATAACATTATATATAACAAAATAACATAAGGGTATAGAAAGTAATGGTAACAAAGGACTTTGACGCTCTAGTAAACAATAATTAATATTTACTAAATATGCTGCATATATAAGGGAAGTAATACGGAAGCGTTCCCGTTGGAAAAATCCTGAAGGAGAACAGGGGGTGTTTTAGTTTGTATACTACATAGTAGGAATCTGACACACCATTCCGGCGATGGCCAGTTTTCCACTTACTCCCAATAATAAAGAAAAAAAAAATAAAAAAAATTGTTGAATATATTATTATCTATTGTGAAATTTATAATTCAGCTGATATGTGATTTGTAGTTCTAACTTGCTAGTTTTAGGAATTTTGAGCTTTAAATTTAATCTTCATTTTTCAAAAATATTCGGTTATTTTTACATAAAATCCAAATTTATTTCTAAACTTTTTCTAAATATTTTTCTTATATATACAAATATAAGTTCATTTATATATTCAAAACAAATATTACTAACAAAGAAACACAACAAAAAAAATTATATGCTTTTTTACATCTTTAACGAAATTAATTATTATATAGTTTTTATTTTAAAAATAATTCAACTGTGTTTCAAATTATTTTTTTTAATTTTTTTATTTTTAAAATAAAATAAAAAAAAACATTTTTTATATCTTTTTCCAGGTATTTATTTTTTTTTTAATATTTTTTATTTTTTAAATAGTCGATTAATTAAATAATTTATTAAATTAATAAACAACAAATAATTTTTAAATTATTTACTTTTTAAAATTTAATAAATTAATAAATAATGAAATAAATAAAATTATATTTTATTATTATTAATCTTTTTATTTAATAATGAAAGACTAAACTTTACCAATTTCCTTTTAACGCAATTTGTCTTAATGTCATCTGTGGAATGTTTTTCCAATTCTGTTGTTGTAGTTGTTGTTGTTGTAATTGTTGCAAATTCCATATTTAATATAAATTAAAGTTATAACATTTGATATAAGAAAATTAAAAAAGATTTTATAGTTTTTTTCAATTCCGATTTTTAAATTGAAAATTTTCTTAATACAATTTTTATGACTTTTAATTTTTATTTTAATATAATAAATTTTTTTGTTTGTTACTAAATTGTTATAAATTTATTTTGTTTAAATTAATAGCAGAATTTTATTTAATTACTGGCATTACAATTATCACGGTATGTCAAAAAATTAAATACAATCTAAATAATATCACATCAATGAATTTTTCTTTTATTTTTTAAATTTATTTCAATTTTTATTTAAAAACACAAAAAACGCTTTTTTGATAGAAATCTGTTTGAATTGCAAGATCAACCGTTGCACATGAAAACTAAATCGTAACTGAGCTTCAGTTTGATAAAAATTTGCAATCGAAGCATTTAAAGCTAACAATCTGCTACAAAAGTATCTTTTATATTTGTATCTGTAAGATACTTGCACTTGCTCACAAAGCACACAAAGACAATATTGAGCAACGCTTGCCAAGTAGGCATTTTTTCACAAGTTTGCCGATTGCAGCAACTCGCATTTTTTGGTTAACAATGAGTTGCCTTTCTCTGCTCTTCTCTGAGCTTTTTGAGTGTTTATCTGATCGCTAAACAAACTCTCGCAGTTGGAAAAGCTTTCTTAGAAGAAATAGAGATACTTTTTTCAAAAAATTGTTTTTTTTTTTTTTCAAAAAAATGTTTTAATATAATTTTGCCACAATTTTCTTTTAAACTTTAATGTTAACATTTTTATTTAAAAACTTTTGGATATTACAAAATGTGCATATTTTTTCGAAGACTGGTTTTAAAATAATGTAAAGATACTTTTTATTTATTTAATTATTAATTTTATATATACATTCCCTTTTAAGATATTTCATTCAAAACTAAATAGGAGATTGTTTCATTGTAGTTTTGAGGATTTTCAAGACTTCTGGGGAAACCCCCGTTAAAAGTTTTTTGACTTTTTTGTTTATTATATATATCTTAATGTAGTAAGTTCAATCAGTTGATAACTACACCACTGCTAATCCTACTTAATCGACATTGATTATAAAATGAAATCTGACAATCATCAATTATGATCACATAATCTAGTGCAGTAAAACTAATTTACTAAAACCATAGTTCCTCTTACAAAACCGGGTATACTTACGGATGTAAACTGTAGATTCTGTGAAGAGAATGAGGAGTCAGCCATACATGTACTGTTAGAATGCCCTACACTAATGCACATATGAAATATGCTCCTGGGAATGTATATTCTTACTGAAGAGGCAATAAAACTCTGTGAAGTAGGTTCTATACTACTTTTTATTGACGCAACAGGGCTTAAAGACAATAGACAATAGACCCCACGGTCACAGTGCCACATCCCCTAACAATAATAATAATAATAGTTCCTCTTAAAGGGCTTTACAAACCTCTTCGATTATTTTATAAAATTCTTCTGAGCATATTTTTGTAATATCTATTTTATCAAATCTACATCAATTACACTTATAGGAAAAGTGTCAGCTTTAAAGACATTCGTCTTCAAATATTAAAAGTCCTTTATTACATTATTCGCAGTACTCCAACAGTGGTATCATGAGCTAAACTGGAGACCCCCAAAGAACATATAATAATATATTTATTTTATAGTTAGGATTTGTTTTTTTAACAATAGGTATCTCAACTTAAGTTTATAGTTTCTAGCGCCTTTAGACAAAAACCTTAATTATTTAGATATTGTGTTACTTGAAACTAATTACAATAGAAACAATAGATTTAATTATAGTCCATTTACATTTGAAGTATGATCAAAATATCATTCTTCAACATAATATGTAGTATTACATTAATATAATATACAGTGACTCGTGCAAGCAATATTTTTCTAAATTTGAATATACATTAAGACCGAAAAGTTTTCGGAAATTCTCATTTAAAATTCGCGCGCTGTATATTTTTCGATATTTTAAGTTTATGTAGTTTGGCAGCAATTAAGGACAATTACTATGCCAAAAATGAGCGCGATCTGTCAGACAGTTCGTTTACGGCAGCTGTTGAAACCACAGTTCCCCTCAGTAGTGCGTTGCGAAAAAACAATGGAAAAAAATATTGAACAAAGAGTTTGCATCAAATTTTGTGTTTCGAACGAAATTTCGTGTGCAGAATCGTTGCGAATGCTACAAAAGGCTTATGGGAAATCAGTTTTATCGAAAACTCAAGTTTATGAGTGGTACAAAGCCTTTCAGGACGGTCGTACGACCGTCGAAGACATTTCGCAACGCACTACTGAGGTGAACTGGTTTCAACAGATGCCGTAAACGAACTGTCTGACAGATCGCGCTCATTTTTGGCATAGTAATTAAGGACAGTGCTGCCAAACTACATAAACTTAAAATATCGAAAAATATACAGCGCGCAAATTTTA